TTTAAAAAAAATTTATTTTGCACTTTTAACTTCATAATAAACTTAGGTTTGTCATATATTCTATATATTAATTCAAGAAATTCACCCAGTCTACCTTTGCCGTGTTTCCAAACAGCAAAATAATCGTCCATATAAAGAACCAATAACTTGGGGACTAGGAATTTCTCTTGAAAGACACGAACTTTCAGTTGGGCCCATAGCTAAGCCCAGTGTTTGCTTATACAACTTACGGTTGATTGTAAAATATCTATTATCTCTTGCAAAATTGATCAACCTACTGACTGGATCTTTTCCTAGCCTTTAACATGTTGTCGTCTGATCAACAAGTTACTTTATAAAGTCGTAAGAACTTCTTATCGGAAACTTTCAAGTTTCGGAGATTTGCTTTATTGAGTGCAAATAAATAGTGACCTCTTCTGCATCACACTATCTCTATTATTTACAATACTCCCAAGTGAGATATGTTCCATATGAATTTTTGGCAGCTCACACTCGTTTGGCGTGCGTTTATATTCCACTTTTGTAGTTCCTCGCTGTCTAAACATTGTTACCTAAAACCCATAAGTCTGGCCTTAAGGCGTTCTGCCGAGTAGTTTCGTATAGTTTTATGTGTATTTTTAGCGTCTAATGTCCCTAATATTTTCTCGACATAACCAGTTCTACTCATAACTACTACTGCTACTCCTTCGTCTGCCCTCCATACTAATAGAACCTTTGCCTTGAGGTTCCGTTTAATAGTATTAATTGTATTATTCCTATATTGTGCTTCTAGATGGCTACCAATTAGGTGGACAACATTTGATTCAATGTCACTCCCAGTATCCTCTGGAAAACTATCTGTTAAACTTATCAATTCTACCAAAATTTAAGTCCCCTGATAGAACCTCCGCCGTAGAAATACCATATGACGTTTTTGACAACTTGCCCACTTTTTGGCCACAGCTTTGCTCCCATTTAACTTCACTGCATATGGATGGTTGCCTTGAGCTAATTCTGATCATGTCTGCCACTGTACAGACGAAAGCTTAGCACAGGTTCGTCGGAGTCGCAGGAAGGTGAGCCGATGACTATTTTCGCATAATACAACAGACTTTCCTATGCAGCAATTCTCTCTTCGATTTCCGGTGAGACAACATCATGAATTCCTATTAAACCACTTTTCATTTCACAAGAACAAATCAATTGTCTGGTGCTCGTCTGTTGTCTGCTCTATTTCATTAATTTAATATTCTGGATCTCGTAACTGGTCGTCTTGCACATGGCTTTAGGAGTTTTAATAGCACTTGTTGGTGTAGAACCGTGGAGATTGTAGAAAACACAATAAATAAATATTATGCCGACTGAGCGATAATAGTTCCTCAATAAAATATTTTGTAAATTGCTCAATTAGGTGAAAAAATGAATAGATGGGATAAAAAATAACTAATAGATGGTTCAATATGAAAGAGGATTATATGAATTAAATTAGAGCAGATTAGATGGGATTTGGGTTGTTAAATTGGTTGAGATAAGATGAAATGAGATTAGATTGATTTAAGTTAGATTGGATTAGATTAGATCAGATTAGATATAATTAAAAAAGCGAATAGACTAAAATGATGAAATTGATAAATTATCAAGGACAGTTCAATATTTTGTATTTATGACAATCTAAATTGACATCGAAAATGAATTATTTTTCATCAAAAGTGGTATGTTAGTTATTAAAGTTTCTGTTAAGCTTAATTGATCCAAAAATGTATAAATTTACAAGTTATGGCTAAAAAATAAACAAATGGATAAGACAACTTTGTCAATTAGTTAAATAATAGTAAATAAAATAATGGAATAGTTAAAGTACCAAAATGTTGTTTACTACTTTGGATTAATTAAAAGTAAATATTAATTTGTAACGTTTTCATTCAACTCGGACTTCTTTTTTGCCAAATAATGCCAAAAATCGAATGGATAATTTGCTTAATTAGATGAGATAACTCAAATAATACATACATAGGATAAATGAATGATGTGAATAAATAATTAATTAGCTCAATTAAATAAGGCCGTAGATAGTTGTCAATAAGTAATATAAAATAATAGAATCTATCAATTGCCAACAAATGGCTTAGCAACAAAGTATATTTTTTCACTACAATTGCATTTTAATTATTACATTTCTCATTCAACACCGGCTTTCTCATAATGAGTAGTCTAGATGGGCTTTCCATCACGTGTTCTCACCATCGCCTGCATGTCAGCTTGCCGGCCGTCGAAACGAGACACCATAGCCTTTCATAGTTTGACAAATCAACGGTAAATCTTAATTTGCACAGGCTCTGTCTTGCCCATTCCAGAGCCGGTGTATGGAGGCTGTCCGGCCCGGCCGCCTGGCAAAATTGCCATCAAGACGGCTGTTCACTGAGCTCTGATTGGCTGCTGCCGGCTGACCTATCAGTCGGTGCGAGGAGGAGATTTCCCAACCATACAATCACCCTGCCTGGGCTGGTCGCCAGAGGGGTCAGGTAGTCTTGTGAAATGTTGCCATGCTTATGGCTGGGATTGCCGCATAAGCGTCCGGTTCCCTTGTCCCCTACCTCCGACCGGTCGGAATGCCTGTTGCGGATAGAGCAACCCAATTTGCGGATTCGTCTTATGCTGTGTTGTGCTGTGTTGTCTCGTCTCCTGTTGTGTTGTGTTGTGTTGTGTTGTGTTGTGCTGTAGTGGACCCGCGATGAGACGACACAACTCTCACGACTGACGCAACATTGACTTGGAAAAGTGTGCCCCTGCGACATGTCGTCCGGTGCGAGGCGAGAGGCCGCGATGCGGCTCGTCTGGCGCATCTGCCGACTCGTCATGTTGTTGGCCGGCTTGTCGAGAGTCGGAGCGGCCGGTGACGCTGGCGACGAGGAGGATGGACGACCCGAGCGGCTCACCTTCTACGTGCACGAAGAGGTGCCGATCGGTACCTACATCGGATCGTTGAGTCAGGCTCTGCTGGGCCTCGTGTCCGAGGCGAAATCGCCGACGGGTCACCAGCTTCCGGCGGCCCTGGCGACGGCCTGGACCGGACAAGTGATCGTCATGACGCCTGAGACGCTGGTCGCCGTGAACGTGAGCAGCGGAGAGCTGTTCACTCGGACGCGGATAGATCGCGAGTCCATGTGCAGCCAGTCGGGCAGTTGCTGCCTCCAGACGCCGACCTCGTTGGCCGGTACCAGCGAGCAATCGGTCGAGACGGTCGGCGCAGCCGCCGACGACCACTCGGTCCACTCGCCGTCGACGTTCTACCGGAGCGCGGCGGTCGCCGACGCCTGGACGGCCGATTTCATGCCCGGCTTCCATCCCGACTGCTCCGTTCGACTCATGCTGATGCTGGGCGCCGGCGGTGACCAACCGCTGCTGGTCGAGCTGGTCGTCTACGTCGTCGACGTTAACGACCACTCGCCCGTCTGGCCGGCCGGACAGTTGCGTCTCGAGATACCGGAGCACACTCCGGTCGGCCGACTCTTTCAGCTGCCAGTCGCCGTCGACCTCGATCAAGGCCCGGAGCACACCATTCGCGACTATCGCCTCCAACTGCCGACGGGAGTCGAACTCGGCACCGTCGACGCGGCGATGTCCAGTCCCTTTAGTCTGTCGGCTCGACTGGTCGGTTCGCCGGTTCGCGGATCGCGTCGTTTCGACCTGCATCTGCGAGTTGAAGCGGACCTGGATCGAGAAAGCAGAGCCAGCTATGATCTTGTCCTGATCGCCGTGGACGGACCGATTGAGGCGACCCACTTCACCGGCTCCGTGACGCCGGCCGGCGATGCCAATCTTATGACTCGGATCGAGCAAAAGTCCACCTCTCGGACGGGCAGTCTCGACATTCGTGTCATAGTCACCGACATCAACGATCATGCGCCCGTCTTTCTGCCCGCCTCCGGTCTGATCGTGGAGGTACGCGAGAGTACACCGCCCGGACGAGAGATCTACCGGTTGGTGGCGAAAGACGCCGATCTCAACGACCAAGATCGACTGACCTTTCGACTCGGCTCCGTGGCCAGCAAAGAGGTACAGCGCATCTTCGCGGTGGAGGCGAAGACTGGCGCCATCAAATTACGCCACAGCCTTGACTACGAGACAGCCGGACTGGTGGTGGTAGACGCCGCAGTCGACGAGCAGACGATGCCGTCTGACATTACCCGTCGTCATGACGACCGATCACAACGTCAACAGTTTGTTGGCTACACTTTGCCGGTTCGAGTGTCTGACGGTGCTCACGTCACCGAGACGATGGTCTATTTTCGCCTGATCAACGTGAACGACAATCCGCCCACGATCAATCTTCGCTCGCACCTTCGACGTAGCGCATCGGTGGGCGGTCACGAGTTCTGGTTGAGTGAATCTGCCGCCATCGGAGAGCTGGTTGCCACGTTGGCCGTGGAGGATGCTGACGAGCGTGGCAGACAGGCAGAGCTGCCGTCAGACGCGGGACTGACGGAGCGAGGCTGGGCCAACTTCAGCCTGCGATGTCGTACCAACCTGCCTCAGTTTGGTCTACAGGCGCTGGTGACCGGGCCTCGGGTTGGCCCATCTGCCGGGCCCGGTGTTGCTGCCCCGTTTGGCAACAGCGCTGGTGTGGGCTCCTCCTCGCCGGTGGTCGGAGTCGGCGCCTCTGGCCTGCTCAAACTGGTCACTCGACAGACTCTGGATCGAGAGACACGAGCCGCCTACCAAGTGAGCGTGGAATGTTGGGATTCTGGAGAGCCGGCGCTGTCGAGTCGGGCTGGGCTGACGGTGCGATTGGAGGACGAGAACGACTCGCCGCCGGTGTTCGAGCGCGCCGTCTTCTACGGCCATTTGGCCGAAGGCTGGCCGGCCGGAACCCCCATTCTGCGTGTCGCCGCGACCGATGCCGATCTGGGCTCACACGCTCGACTGCGCTACCGACTGTTGCCGGCCTCGGATCAGGCCTCGCCGACGCCACAGGCTCGAGACCCGCACAACGAGCACGGCCAACGGGCGCAATTGTCGGGCCAGACGAGCCAGACGATGATGCGACCAAACGGCCCAACCACTCCGAACGCATCTGCCGACTCGCTGAGAGATACGGACTTTCTTTTGACCACTCTGCCTATAGACAGTCTGCTGAGCATCAACGAGGCGACCGGTCAGATCACCAGCCAAATGGTGTTCGATCGTGAGGCCATAGGTTGGATCAACTGTACCGTGATCGCGATCGACAACTCAAGGCCTCCGTCCGGCCATGACGACCTGAGTGACGGAAGCATTGACATGAATCGGCGTAAGCAAGTGACGGTGAACACAGCCACAGCGCGGGTCGTCATCAGAATAGATGATGTCAACGACTGCCGACCCCAATTCGACCAACCGTCGTATGAATTCACCGTGAAAGAGGGAGCCCGTGTTCATACTTTGGTAAGCTAGCGGCGAGCAGAAAGTTTCAGGGGGTACCAAAACACCTACATACACTTTTTATGCAAGCCTTATTTTGGCCAAAAAGTCAAAAGGATGGCATGATTTTGATAAAAATTTAGGTGATAGAAGGGCGGATAGTTACATTTCCCATAGTGCTATGAACAAATCTTACGATTAAATTTTAATTTGACCCAGCATTTCCTCCTAACTGGTACCGAAACACTGTTGTTTACATCGTGATGACACAACTATGGCTGCCGATTCGTCGTATAGCAGAAATGAGCTTTGTGGCAATCCATAAACTTGTGTAAATCCAATTTAATGAGATGTATTCACCCTATTTCGTGTAAGGTGATGAAGGACTGGTAGTAGAATTTTCCCACAATGATTATCAGTGTGATGAGATGTATTCACCCTATTTCGTGTAAGGTGATGAAGGACTGGTAGTAGAATTTTCCCACAATGATATGAATTAGAGCTGACGTTTCCATTCAATTTCAAATTGCCTTGCTTTCCCAACACCCTGGATGAGAACACCTTTTGGGTGCTGACTTTTCCATTGAATTTCACATAGCCTTGCTTTCCCAAAAGTTGTTCTCATCCTGGGTGGACTGCGCGTTTTCCATTGAATTTCACATAGCCTTGCTTTCCCAAAAGTTGTTCTAATCCTGGGTGGACTGCAGTTTCCTTCCATTGAATTTCACATAGCCTTGCTTTCCCAAAAGTTGTTCTCATTCAGGCACCAGTGGACTGCAGGTCTCCATTGAATTTCACATAGCCTTGCTTTCCCAAAAGTTGTTCTCATCCCGGCTTGAGTGGACTGCAGTACCATTGAATTTTCACATAGCTTTACTTTCCCAAAAGTTGTTCTCATCCTGGGTGGACTGCAGTTTCGACCTCGCATTGGACATTGAATTTCACATAGCCTTGCTTTCCCAAAAGTTATTCTCATCCTGGGTGGACTGAAGTTTCGACCTCGCTATTGAATTTCACATAGCCTTGCTTTCCCAAAAGTTGTTCTCATCCAGGGTGGACTGCAGTTTCGACCTCTTTGAATTTCACATAGCCTTGCTTTCCCAAAAGTTGTTCTCATCCTGGGTGGACTGCAGTTTTGACCTTTGAATTTCACATAGCCTTGCTTTCCCAAAAGTTGTTCTCATCCAGGGTGGGAAAGCAAGGCTATGTGAATAATTTCACATTGCCTTGCTTTCCCAATATTGTTCTCAGCGTTGTGCAGCACGTCATCTCGACGGACTAACTATTTCACATAGCCTTGCTTTCCCAAAAGTTGTTCTCATCCTGGGTGGACTGCAGTTTCGACCTCGCATTCTTTCACATAGCCTTGCTTTCCCAAAAGTTGTTCTCATCCTGGGTGGACTGCAGTTTCGACCTCGCATTGTTCACATAGCCTTGCTTTCCCAAAAGTTGTTCTCATGGGTGGACTGCAGTTTCGACCTCGTATTGGGAAAAAAGGTGATGAAGGACTGGTAGTAGAATTTTCCCACAATGATATGAGTAGAGCTGACGTTTCCATTGAATTTACATAGCCTTGCTTTCCCAAAAGTTGTTCTCATTCAGGCTAAGGTGGACTACAGTTTCGATTTCGCCTCGGTCTTATCAACACCCTCAGCGGGATTCTAACCGCGACAGTGCAGGATGGTAGCTTGACACGCTAACCAC